CCATTCATCTTCAGACTTTCTCATCTTCACAAACTGGAACTCGGTCCTCATTAAACATTCATTCCTCCTCCTCCTTCCCCAGCCCGAGACATCCACCATTCTACTTCCTGTTTCTATGAGTTTGACTCCACTTAGGGACCTCATAAAAGTAAAGTCATACAGTATTTGTTCTTTCATGACTGGTTTATTTCACTCAGCATAATGTCCTAAGGATGATCCATGTTGTAGCATGTGTCAAAATTTCCTTCCTTTAAAAAAATTTTTAAGTGGTAAAAAACACACACATTTACCATTGTAACCATTTTTGAGTGTGCAGTTCAGTAGTGTTAAGTACATTCACAATATTGTGCAAAAACCCCTCAAACTTTTAAATCTTGCAAAACTGAAAATCTACACCCACTAAACACTAACTAACTTCTACCCCCCTCCTTCCATATCTGACAACCACCATTCTCTTTTCTGTTTCTATTAATTTAACTACTTCAGGTATGTCATTTAAGCGAAATCATGCAGACTTTGTCCTTTTATGTAAGATGGGAAACCATAAGGACTGGCTTCTTCCACTCAGTATTATGTCAGCAACTCTTTTCTTTCAAGTACTTATTTCTCTGTAGCATGTGCATTTCAAAGGCCACCTCCTTCCATGAAAAACCCGTGCCCAACAAATACAAGTATCAGGTTGGAAATAATTTTGAATATGTTAAAAGCAGGTCAGTAAAAAGAGAAGCAATGTCTACATGAGGATGTCTAAAAAGATGGTATCAGGAAAGCATCAGCTCTCTAGCCCTGTTAATTAGTGAGTTAAGTCCTTGGACATGAGATATCTGGAAAAAAGAAGTTTTACTTTATTTCAGCCTAGAAATGGTAAGCGAGAGGCAAGCTGCAGAGGGGTGATGTTTATATTTGGAGGGGCCTGATCCTCTACAGTAGAATTTCCACATCTGCTCATTAAACATATTTGTACTCTCACTTTCTTCTGTAAGATCAGTGAGCTGTTGAGGGTGGATGCAGAAATAAAATTTTACTGAATTAAAATGTACCCAAGTGATAGTCTGTTTGCACGTGTGGTGCCAATTCTTTTCTGTTTCCATGTCTTTGGCAATGTGACTGTGAACTCCTCCCATCCAGAAGTGGTCTTTTTCTCCACCTTTGACTCTGGGCTGCATTTAGGATTTTTTTATTTGTTTTGACCAATAAAATATGGTGGAAGGGACAGTGCGCCTTACCAGGCCTTGGTGCATTTCCACTGCTCGAAATCAGAACCCTGGCTGAGCCATGTGAACAAACCCAGGAGGGCCTTCCAGAGAAGGAGAGGAGATGCAGACAAAGCTCATTTATTCCAGCCAAGCCCTCCCTAGATCAGTCACCATAGCTGAGCCCCTAATACATTAGAAAGGCCAGCCAAGATCAGCAGAGACACCCCCGCTGACCCACAGCTGACTGCAGACTCAATGAGGAGACCAACAGAGATCAGAACACATCCCCACTACACAAACCCATTGGAAAATAAAGTAATTATTTCAAGCTACTTGATTTTAGGATGGCTTATTATATAGCTATAATGAATTGATACTATCATCAAAGCAAACAGAACTGAGGGAAATTATGGAAAAAGCAGCTCTTACTTTTGGCATTTGTATTGGTATTTGAGGACAGCACTCACAATCATTCTGTTATTCAAATGCATTTCAGATAACTGTGTATAAAAGTACCTCCACTGAGTTCCCTTCCAGGTAGTCAGGACAGGGTGGGAGGACATGCATGTTTGTGCAGGATATTCCATGATTCTTATTTACATGACTGGGCAGGATTTTAACTCCTGTGTGATTCATCCTTTTTATTTTTTAGTTTTCACTTTGTTTATTTTGACTGTTTTTTCCTCCAGATTCTCTACTCACATCAATCTTACGTGTGATTTGCCAGGAAATACACCCCCACCCCCAAGACACCATTCCAGATTGATTACACTTAAATATATCACTCCATTGGAAGTGCTATCAGCATAGTCTTTGCAAAAAACCCAAAGCATATTTTCAGGAGTTTTTAGAAATTGTTTGTAATGCTTATGTTTAATTCTTAGGCCAAAAGGTTATCTAATGAAGACAGCATTGTGCTTTGTGCAAGAATGGAAACCTCAAAACCATAAAGCTTCTGGGAGAATAAACCAGGATGGTCCACAGATGTAAGATGAAATCCACAATATTGGAGTTTGAAATGGTTAGAGAGGCCCAGACTACAATACAAGCATAAACCACCATTAGAAGAGTGGAACATAATATGCTCCAAGATGTTTGAACCCTCAGTCTGAATGATGAGGCTTAATCTTCAGTTCAGTCAGCAGAAATTGACAATGCAATTTTTCGTTGTGTTTATTATACAGACCATGTACATTCTAGAAGTTTCCTTTAGCATCCACTGCTGTACTTTTTGTCCCAGCACTTTGAGGGCGTGCAAATACCACAAAGTCATCAACAAGAACAGGCCATGCTCCTTCTTCATTATAATTAGACATGTCATCTGCAATCATTGTACCGAAGTCTAAAAGAAAATTCCAAGTATCTTTTGGTATTAATTGTTTATGATGTCCCAACAAAAACTTTTTCCATAAGTCTAAGAATTTAAATCTTTCATTAAGCATTAAATTCCAGTAGGCAATGGCCATTTCTAGATCTAAACCTTTTTGTCCTGGATTCTTTGCAAAATTAAAAGTAAACAGTTAAAAAAAAAGTAAACTGGGAAAAATCCTTAAATTGTCCTGGTCCTTACAATTCCTCTTCCATCTTGGGTATCTGGGCCTCTGGGCTGTCACTTTCTAATTCTGTCATGCCTTGCATGAACTCTTGTTTGGACAACTTGCACTCTGTTGCTGCTCTAACTTCCATGCAATGATCAACCCAATAGTGCTGGCTTGGCATGAGGGTCAGGTCATCACAGAACTGCTGTATGCCATCTATTCCAATTTTATTTTAACCTTGAGGATCTTTGTGTCTAGTGTATAGATATTCTAACTTCTTCCTGTCCAATGATCCTTTTACACTGTCTCATATATACAATTCAGGATTTGGGGGAAAAATTGGTCTGTTGCAACATCTAACTTTCAGTCATTTTGAGACAGGCATCTTACTGCTGCTTTTTCACTAGGTTGTGTGAAGATCATAAAGTAACCAAGGTTTTCCTTCTGCAACAACTTAAACTTGACCATGTTGTGTCCTCTGGGCCTCTTCCCTCCTCCTCCAGCTCCAGGGTGAATGGAGGTTAGGTGGCTCCTCTCCTGGGCTCGTGGGCTCCAGTTCATGCACAGTGTGGGGCAGTCCTTGGCACAGCCGAGGAAACAGCCCTGGGCCTAGGAGAGGCAGAGGGTTGGGGGCAGGTGTCAGGAGCCCTGTGTGAGTTTTCCCCTGGGGCAGGGTCTTTCCAGGCATGTGAGATTCATCCTTTGATTATAAAGATTGAAGATATTCCTGAGTGCAAAGATATTCCTGAGTGTAAATATATGATATTTAGATTGTTTGCTCACTGTTCCTTTGGTGGATTTGAAAAAAGTTTAGAAAAAGGGAGATATTTAATTTAGAGCACTTACTAGTCGAAGGAGTGACATTTGTATGAAGCACATTGAAAAATTTCAAACAAAAAAATAGTTCAGAAAAAATAACACATAAAACACTCCACATAATTCTTCTCCCAATTGAATAAAGAACCTTACACATGGACATCATATTCCACACTTTATTTTTACTATTATTTTATTATTGATTTTTTTTAGAGCGAGAGGAAAGGAGACATAGATACAGAGATAGAGATAGATAGATAGATTATAGATCATAGATAGATAAGTAGGCAGATAGAGAGATAGAAGCATCAATGTGACTGCTTCTTGTATGCACCACACCTGGGATGGAACCCACAACCTAGGTATATGCTCTGACCTGGAATCAAACACACAACACTTTTCTGGTGTACAGGAGGATGCTCAACCAACTGAGCCATTGGGCCAGGTCAATATTCCACACTTTAATGCAGCATGAAAAATATTTTTGTATAGTAATAAATTGTATGACTATTTTTTGCTTCATCATATTTAAGGTCATCTCTAACTCTAACTGTATTAGATCACTTTATTTATTATCCATGAAGACGCTTCTTGGAAACATGTATTGAGTAGTCAATTTTTGCCAGTGACTAAGGTAGGCATGTGGACACACAGCTGAATAACAGAATGAAGACTATAATACTAGGAGACCAGGTATAAAACATACTAGCATGTTAAAATCTAATGCTATGCTATATAATAAAAGTGTAATATGCAAATCGACCAAATGGCGGAACAGCAGGTCACTATGACTTGCACTGACAACCAGGGAGCAGATGCTCAATGCAGGAGCTGCCTCCTGGTGGTCAGTGCGCTCCCACAGGGTAGTGCCACTCAGCCAGAAGCCGGGCTCATGGCTGGCAAGTGCAGCAGCTGTGATGGGAGCCTCTCCTGCCTCCATTGTAGCGGGCAGTAAGGAGTGAGGAATCCGGACTGCGAAAGACCTGGACCGTGAGAGGGAAGTCTGACTGCGGACATTCCCCAAGGGATCCCAGACTGTGAGAGGGTGCAGGCCGGGCTGAAGAACCCCCTCCCCAGTGCATGAATCTTGTGAACCAGGCCTCTAGTAGAAAATAATGATGAACATATAAGTGAAAACTTTGGTCTCAGATTTTCCTCTACAATAAAATTATGTAAATGGCCTTATAGCCAAGTATAGTTTGTTCCTAGTGGTAGTATAATTCATGACTGTTCTTTCAGAAAAACAATAGAAAAATTACTTGGAATGATATATATCACAAGAGAATAAATTATGCTAACGTAATTCATGTTAACCCATGGGATAAATGAGTATTTCCAATTCCTTATGGTTCAAAGATTGAATGAATTTGTGTCAGACGTCTGACTCTGAGGTTAGAAACCTGCATTCCTGGACAATTCTTCAGGCTAGTACAGTTGGCCCTTGAAAAGCTTACCTGCCAAGGAACCTTTGCAGGGCCCTCTTTATGTCATTGTTCCTCAGACTGTAGATGAATGGGTTCAGCATGGGTGTGACCACAGTGTACATCACTGAGGCTGTTGCATTGTGGGTAGCAGTGGAGCTGAGGTAAACTCCAAGGCTTGTACCATAAAATAAGGAGACAACTGAGAGATGAGACGCACAGGTAGAAAATGCTTTGTACTTCCCCTGAGCTGATGGGATTCCACATATGGAGGCAATGATCTTAGAGTAAGAGTAAAGAATCCCAGCAAGGGGACCACCACCCAGTAGCACAGTTATAAAATACATCACCATGTTATTAAGAAAGGTGTCGGAACAGGCAATTTGAACCACCTGACGGAGTTCACAGAAAAAGTGGGGAATTTCTAAGTCTGAGCAGAAGCGCAAACCAAACACCATTAAGCTTTCTAGCAAGGAATTCAGGACACTCATGATCCAGGACACCAGAACCAGCAGTCCACAGAGCCGGGGGTTCATGATGACCATGTAGTGCAGGGGGTGGCAGATGGCCACAAACCGGTCATAGGCCATCACGGTCAGGATAAAGTTGTCCAACACAGCAAAGAGTATGAAAAAATATATCTGGGTGATGCAGCCTTCATAGGTGATAACTTTGCTTTGTGTCTGGATGTTCCATAGCATCTTTGGGACGGTGGTGGAGGTGAAACAGATGTCTACCAAGGACAGGTTGCAGAGGAAGAAGTACATGGGTGTGTGGAGGTGGGTGTCTGAGCTGACGGCCAGGATGATGAGCAGGTTTCCCAACACAGTGATCAGGTACATGGAGAGGAAAAGTCCAAATATGAGGGGCTGCAGTTCCAGTGCCTGTGAAAATCCCAGGAGAAGAAATTCTGAAATTTGTGTACCATTGCCTGGTTCCATGTGTTGGAGGTGACTATTAAATAAATACATACATAGATAAATAAATAAACAAACAAACAAACAAACAAACAAATAAATAAATAAATAATATTCACATTAGCAAGCATTAGTAACTGAGAATAAATGACACATTTATATTTTAGAGTCAGGAAAATAATGTCCATTTTTGTTGTGTGATCTGGCTCCCATTAATATTTCTCTATTGGTATTCCTCATTAGAATTTCCTTTTCTAACATATACCTGTTCTTCAAAGGTAATGTATACTGCTGTTTTACTGAGGATATCTTTCATGCATTTGAGACATATATATTGACTATAGACTATGTTCTAGGCCAGGGGTGGGCAAACTTTTTGACTCGAGGGCCACAATGGGTTCTTAAACTGGACCGAAGGGCCAGAACAAAAGCATGGATGGAGTGTTTGTGTGAACTAATATAAATTCAAAGTAAACATCATTACATAAAAGGGTACGGTCTTTTTTTTTTTTTAGTTTTATTCTTTTCAAACGTGCTGGATCCGGCCCGCGGGCTGTAGTTTGCCCACGGCTGTTCTAGGCACTGTTCAGAGTATAGGATGCTGAAAAACAGAAGTCTACAAACTAATGATGGAGCAATAATATCCTATATAATAAAGAGGTAACATGCAAATTGACCATCATTCCAACACAGAAGATGGCCGCCCCCATGTGGTCAAAGATGGCCACCCCATGTGGACACAAGATGGCCGGCAGGGGAGGGTCATTGTGGGCAATCAGGTTAGCAGGGGAGGGCAGTTGGGAAGGACCAGGCCTGAAAGGGAGGGCAGTGGGGGTGACCAGGCCTGCAATGGTGGTCAGTGGGGGGGGACCCAGGCCTGCAGGGGATGGCAGTTGGGGGGACCAGGCCAACAGGGGAGGGCAATTAGGGGCAATCGAGCTGACAGGGGAGGGCAGTTAGGGGTGACCAGGCCAGCAGGGGAATGCAGTTAGGGGCAACCAGGCTGGCAAGGGAGAAAAGTTAAGGATGGGCAGTTGGGGGGCAACTAGGCCTGCAGGGGAGGACAGTTAGGGGAAATTGGGCAGGCAGGGGAGCAGTTAAGCATTGATCAGGCTGGCAGGGAGTAGTTAGGGGGTGATCAGGCTGGCAGGTAGAAGCAGTTAGGGGCAATCAGGCAGGCAGGCAGGGAGGCGAGTGGTTGGGAGCCAGCAGTCCTGGACTGTGAGAGGGATGTCCCGACTGCAGTTTAGACCCAATCACACAGGGATCAGGCCTAAACCGGCAGTTGGACATCCCCTGATGGGTCCCAGGTTGGAGAGGGTGCAGGCTGAGCTGAAATTCATGCACGGGGCCCTCTAGTAATCAAATAAAAATGATAATATAATATACCTGATGGTGAAGATGCTATAAAGAAAAGTAAATCATATCAAATGGAGGGAGTGAATAGTGGGTGTTATTTTTTATAGAGTTTAGCCAAGACTTGCCAACGGCTGACACTTTAACACAAACCTCAATGAAGACTGAGCGAGAGACTAAGAGGGAGAGTGTTTCCCAGGGAGAAGGAACAGCCAGTACAAAGACCCTGAGGAAGATGGTTGTTTTTTAGAAAATGAAGGCTTGGGAGTTTGAAGATGGCATCATGTGGCAGATTATTCTTGTACCTCCTCCCAGAACCTAACTGGCAATAAAACTAAATTAGGGAATATTCACTCTGAATTATCAACTGAAGACTAGCTGAAGAGGAGACTTTTAAAGAAGGAAGGGCAGAAACCACCTTGAGAGTGACAAGAAGGCTGTGGTTTCGGGAGGGGCAGGCCAAGATAAGGAGGGATATCTCAGCTGTGGGGGTTTCCCTCTGAGAGTAGAGGCCTGTACACCAGGCTGGGCTCCCCAACTTCCAGGGCCAGAGCCAGGAACACCTGCCCACATAGCATCCATCAGTGAAAAGCAGCAGGGCTTCTACCAGCAGAGGGCGATGGAGCCTGCTGGAGATAAAGCCACTTTGTTTTTATTTACTTATATATTTTTATTTTTAAAATATTTATTATTGAAAGTATTACATATGCTCCCTTGTTTCCCCCATTGACCTCTTCCAGCCTGCTCCTGTCCTCTAGCCCAGGCCTTTATCACCCTATTCTCTGTGTCCATCTGTTATTCATATATGCATATAAGTTCTTTGTTTGGTTTCTTCCCACTCACTCGCCCTCCCCTGCCTTCCCTCTGAGGTTCAATAGTTTGTACCATGCTTCTATGTCTCTGCATCAGTTTTGTTTGTCAGTTTCTTTTGTTCATTAGATTCTACATGTGAGTGAGGTCATGTAATACTTGTCTTTCTCTCACTGGCTTATTTCACTTAGCATAGTACTTTCCATATCCATCCACGTGATTGCCAATGGTAAGAGTTCTTTCCTTTTTATAGCTGCATAGTATTCTATTGTGTAAATGTAGAACAGCTTTTTTTATCCACTCATGTGCTGATAGGCACTTGGGTTGTTTCCGAATGTTAGCTATTGTAAATTGCACTGCTGAGGACATAGGGGTGCATATATTCTTTCTGATTGGTATTTCTGATTTCTTAGGATATATTCCCAGGAGTGGGATCACTGGGTCAAATGGGAGTTCCTTTTCTAATTTTTGAGGAAACTCCATACTGTTCTCCACAGAGGACGCCACTTTGTTTTTCAAAGGGTCAGATCACAGAATTTTAGTTCACAGCCACTCACCCTGGCTTTTGTGGAGGGAGAGTTGTGCAGACTAGAGTACCTGAGAAGAGTCTGGGATTAGAAGCATTAGAGAGAGACTTGGAGAGTAGCTTCCAGGATACCTGTGCTCAGTCATCCTTCCCAATTCTGCAGTAGCCATTTTTCCTGAGAGATGCAAGCCCCACCTCTCAGCTGCAGAAGCCCAACCTACAGGCCTGGTCAGACTCAGGAAGCATCAGTGACTGGCTTTGGGGTGAGGCCATTCTCCAAACTTTCCTGGGAACCTGACTGGCACCTCCCCCTCATGGAAGAACTGATAGAAATTACCAACTTTCAGCAGACCCCACTGGTTGCCATGAAAGAACTTATAGAAATTACTGACTTCCAGCAGACCCCTTGAGTGGATCTTCCTATGAGTGGATTCACCCTGCAAGGTTAGGGAAATACAGTCTAACCTCAGTTCTCAAATGTGTCCCAACGTGAACAATTCAGTTCTTGACCAAGTTGTTCAGAGCAACCATGTCTTGAGTGTCAAACAAACTTTGTGCATGATCAAAAGCGTCTTGCAAGACACAAAGGAAAGAATGAGAGTCAAGTATACTGTGCTGTGAATATTTTCATGTAATTTTTTGTTGTTTGCTTTGCTTTTGTTGTTGGTGAAATGGATGATTAGCACAATTTTAAAACCTAAAGTGGCCATCAGATGTACTGATGTTGCTAAGGGCATGAAAGTGCTCACAAAACAAAGATCATAGGCAATTGAAGAAGTAGAAAAACTGTTGTTGATTTGGATAAAGAAAAGTAGTTAGCCTATGACAGCGTTTTGGAGGCACTGATATGTAAAAAGTGAATATTGCACCCCTGGAATGAGTGCTGACAGTGATTCATTTAAGGCTAGTAAGGGGTGGCTCAATACATTAAGAAAAGAAGTGTTTGTTTCTAGATTATATAGTACTGTAGAAATGGACTTTATATAATATGGTTAAAGCAGGAAATCATTTGGGGATCTGGAACAAAGTAATTTGATTTACATTACAGTGGAGCCTTGACTTACAAGTTTAATTTGTTCCGTGAAGGAGCTCGTAACTCAAATTACTCGTATGTCAAATCACTGTGACATTCGCTGCGCCAACTAGCAGTGGGGTATCTGAAGCTGGCTCGTACGTAACCCGAATTTTAGCTCACAACTCAAAGCAAAAAATTGGCCGAGAGATGGCTCATATCTCGAAAAACTCGTTAGTCGGGACACTCGTAAGTCAAGGCCCCACTGTATTTCTAATGGAGAAAAAATGGTTTGGTTTTAAAACAATTATCTTGTCAAACAGCCTTCTGGAATAAATTAAGTTTGAGAACCATGGTTACACTGTATTCTGGGAGAGTCTCAGGTGTGTGGCTCTGGGACAGGGGAACATACCCACCATCTTCCCTGAAGTCTGAATGGCACCTCCCCCTCATGGGAGATACAGAGGTCCCATCTTCCCGATTCCGCCAACAGCCCTTTCAGAGACAGTTTTTTCAGTGACTAAATCTGATAGCAAGTGGGGATATGTAGGCGGGACAAGGTGGATCCCAAAGTGCCTTGGGATGTTTGCTGACCCACCTTTGAGGCCCACACTGCCATAAAGCTGACCTTGGAGAGCAGTCTGGTCCCTCCTCTGCAGTTAAGCTCAGTGGAGGCAGCCACAAAGGGGGATCACTTCAAGCTTCAAATAGGTTGCCGAGAACCAAATGTGGGCAGCTTCTGATGTTGGCTAGCACCAAAGTCCCTACTAGAAGGCCCAGAATCAACATACAAAATAGTCAGCCTCAGACAAAATAAGAGAAGTATACAAAGGAGATCCCAGGAGTGCATTAAAGTCTACCTAGTTGAACTCCACTTTGGTGTGTTTTTTTTTATGTCACTATTTTCTTTTTGCTTTGCTATTATTTCCTCTCTCTCTCTTATCTTTCACATTTCTTATTTTTCTCTTTCCTTGTTTATTCTATTTTTTCTTTCTTTTCCTTATTTTTTCCTTCTTTTCTTTTTCACTTTTTCTTCTTATTCGTTATTCTTATTTTCTCTCTCCCTTCTTTCCTTTCATATTCTTTCACCTCATTTTTTTTATTGTATTCTTATAATTTTCTTCTTTTATTATTCTTGTTCATGTTTCTCTTTCTTTTGTAGTTGTTTTTGTTGTTGGGCTCCTTGGTATGTTTTTGTTTTCTTTCTGGTTTTATTTGATCAGCACCTATAAAACAGCCTCACAGTCAGGCAACCTGAGGATGGATCCTACCCACAAATGGCCCAACATCTACCAAGACCCAATTAAACAGAAGAGCCCTCAAAACACACACACAAGGGACATAGCATTCAACTCAGGAGATAAAACAGGCTGCACCACTGGGCCCTACAGGATACTTTCTTTGAAAGACCACCCCACGAAGACTGGGAATCATAGCATTTCTATCTAATACATAGAAACAAACACAAAGAAACAGCTTGTGGAGAAAAGATACAATCCCCAAATGAAATAAAAGGAAGAATCTCCAGAAAAAGAGCTAAATAAAATGGAGGCAAGCAATTTATCAGACATAGAGTTCAAAGTAATAAAGATACTCAAGGAACTTAGTGAAAACTACAAGGATCATAATGGGAACTACAAGGAACTTAGTGGGAACTGCATCAGCATGAAAAAGGACATAGAAACCATGAATAAGAACCATTCAGAAATGAAGAATACTACCTAGTGAAAGAAATAGACTTACATTTCCAGAAAGCACAAAAGTGCCACACAATAGGTACCCAAAAAGGCCCACCCCAAGACACATCATAATTAAAATGCCAAGCATTAAAGACAAAGAGAGATTCTTAAAAGTAGCAAAAGAGCCCTAACCGGTTTGGCTCAGTGGATAGAGCGTTGGCCTGCGGACTGAAGGGTCCCAGGTTCTATTCCGGTCAAGGGCATGTACCTTGGTTGCAGGCACATCCAAAATAGGGGGTGTGCAGGAGGCAGCTGGTCAATGTTTCTCTCTCATTGATGTTTCTAACTCTCTATCCCTCTCCCTTTCTCTCTGTAAAAAAATTAATAAAGTATATATTTTTAAAAAGTAGCAAAAGAAAAGCAGTTAGTTACTTACAAGGGAGCACCTATATGCTGTCAGCTGATTTATCAACAGAATATTTTCTGGCAAGAAGGTAGTAGCAAGTAATATTCAAAGTGATGAATAGCAAGGATCTACAACCAATATTATTCTACCAGCAAAGCTATCATTTATAAGTAATGATCAGATAAAGATCTTCACAGAAAAGCAAAAGCAAAAGGAGTTCACCACCAAACCAGTATTACATGAAATGTTGAAAGGTATTCTTTAAGAAGAGGAGGAAGAAGAAGAGAAAAAAGATATAAAATATAAACAATAAAATGGCAATAAATACATATCTATAAAAGAATCTAAAAATAAAAATAACAAACATAGAATCTAAATAAACTGATGAATAAAATAGAAGCAGAAGAGCAAGGGAACATGGAGCAGATTGTCGAATCTCAGAAGGAAGGGTTGAGGAGGGAGGGGGAAGACATCAACTAAAGAACTTATATGCGTATATGCCTTACCTATGCACAGATACAATTGGGTGTTGAAGGCCGGGAGCAGGGTAATAACCCAGTGGAGGTTGGCAATGGGGGGAAAAATAGAGGGCATCTGTAATACTCTCAACAATAAAGATTTAAAATAAAAGAAATGAAGAACACCATATGTGACATTAAGAATACACTGAAAGGGATAAAAATTAAGCTGGATGAAGCAGAGAAACAAAAATAAAATAAATTTAAAATAATGAGGATAGTTTAAGGAAAATTTGGGAAAACTTCAATTGTAACAATATACACATCATAGAAGTAGAGAAGGAAAAGAACGTGAAAAAAGATATAAACCTAGTTTGAATAAAAATGATAACCTGTTAAAGGAAAAATTGAAACACGTTCAGAAAGCACAGAGTCTCAATCAAGATGAACTCAAGAGAACCATGCAAGATACATAATATTAAATTGGCAAAGGTTCAAGACAGAGTAATAATGTTAAAGGCATCATGAGATAAACAGTTAGTTTCCTACAAAGGAGTTTCCATAAGGCTTTCAGCTGATTTCTCAACAGAAACACTGTGTCAAGAAGTGATTGGCATAACTTATTCAATGTAATGAAAAGTGAGGTTCTGAAACCAACACTACTCTATCCAGCAAGGCTTTCACTCAAAATCAATTATGAAATAAAGAGCTTCCTGTTAGGTCGGAGAGAGCCCAGGATCCGATACATGCAGACATGTGATGAGACAATGGACCCCCCCGCCCCCCCAGCATTTCTAACAGATCAGCGTGCCAGACACAGATACTGGCTTCTCCAGGACCCCCACACAGATACTGACTCCTTCCTGAATACCTTGCTGACCCCCTGCAGCTGAAACTTCCTCAACTGAATACCTCAGCTCATGTCCCCGCCCCTCACCCAACCGCGGTATAAAAAAAGCGCCCCCCCTCCCTGTTGGCGTGAATCCACGTGCCCTGTCCTTGGGGATACGTGGGTCTCCCGGGGACGCAGAAATAAACCTTTTCCTTTCCTTTCTTTTCTGATTCACTGGACTCTATTTCTTGCGCCGCCTCCTGAGCCACCTAACCTAACACTTCCCAGACAAAAAAAAAAAAGGCTAAAGAATTTTAACACCACCAAACAAGCATTGTAAGAAATGTTAATGGGACTACCTTAATAATGAGAAGAAATAGAGAAACATAGGCATAACACATTAAAATGGCAATAAATTGGTACCTATCAATAATAACCTTAAGTGTAAGTGAATGAAATGCTTGAATCAAAAGACATAAGGTAGCTGAATGAATAAGAAAATATGACCCAAATACATGCTGTCTACAAGAGACTCAGCTGAGAAAAATATGTCTCACACAGGATGAGATTGATGGGATGGAAAAAGCAAATTTTCATACAAATAGAAGTGAAGATAAAGCCTGGAAACAATATTCATATCTAACAAAACTGACTTCAAAATGAAGGCC